GTGTGTGTGTGAGCGCGTGTGTGTGTGTGTGAGAGAGAAGAGAGAGAGATGAGAGAGAGATTGTCCCGTTTGCGCAATCATGCGTGTCGCGAGTCGCGAGATCACTGTGTGAGTGGATGTCCAGGATGCGTTTGCCTGGAGGCTAGGCCGGTCATCCCGATAGACCGAATATTGCTGGCCGCTGGCCGCTGGCCGCTTGCCGACTGCTGCTACTGCATATTGCTGCCTGCTACTGGCCGCTGCTGCACTGCTATTGCTGCCGCACGCCGCTGCTGCTCTGCTATTGCTGCGCTACTGTGGCTATCTGCTGCGTACGCTATTGCTGCCGCTACTGTGGCTGCTGCTGCTATTGCTGCCGCTACTGCCGCTGCTGCTATTGCTACTGCTATTGCTGCCGCTACTGTGGCTACTGCTGCTACTGCTATTGCTGCCGCTACTGTGGCTACTGCTGCTACTGCTATTTGCTGCCGCTACTGTGGCACTGCTGCTACTGCTATTGCTTGCCGCTACTGCCGCTGCTGATATTGCTACTGCTATGCTGCCGCTACGTGGGCTGCTTGCTACTGCTATTGCTGCCGCTACTGTGGCTACTGCTGCTACTGCTATTGCTGCGCCTACTGTGGCTATCTGCTACTGCTATCTGCTGCGCTACTGCCGCTGCCGTCGGTGGTGCTAGAGGTTGTTACGTATCACGCGCCGGCCTCTGACTTAAATCCAAGTCCGAAATACGGGCGTTATTTCGCGCCTAAATCGAAAACAAACAGCCGATAATGCGCTCCGGCTATACGCACCATATATAGATTACCAACTGCCAGACAAATCCGTATTTAGCCGAATCTGATCGCGTGCGCGAATGGAAGGAAACGGATTTGTCTTAATCGGTTCTGTATGCGCGAGTTGCGGTGTGTGTTTATGTATTTGTTTGATGTTTTGTTGGTTTACTACAACTACTTTGTATATATGGCGTACCTGGTTTATCCTTACCCTGTCCGATCAAGATGGTCAAGATGCGGACATCGACAGGGCAAACGTTCCCCTTCCACCCTTCGTGCATGTTTAGTGCTTATAGCGGTCACGCTCTGTGTGACATGCAAAGACTCCAGCGTATACACATTATTTATATATTAATGCGCTGTTGTTGGGCCCTATGCTCTCATTAGTGTTGCTGAGGAAGGTATAGTGCCGAGTGGTAGCGACGGGCACTATTCCTTCCCAAAGCAACACTATGACAGCATAGTGCCCAACAACAGGCATTAATGTTTTAGTGCATCACATGGACTTGCAATCTACTTGGCAAATATGAAGTGATATACCTTATATATACTCCCTAATTTGCCGGTGCATTCGATTGTAACAAAACGCTCGACACAAACACAATCG